TGTACTAATAATTTCAGAATTTTTACCAACGAATTTCTCATAAAAAAATCGATTTCTCTCTACGGGTGCCGGGAAAACGTTTCTCTGGCACCCCTAAAGAGAAATAAATCGATTTTTCTGTGAGAAATTCGTTGGTACAAATTCTGAAATGAATGATACAAATTGGTATAAATTATAGTACAATTAATGGCGCAAAAAAAAATATTGATTTTTCAACATTGTGGTGCTAGGAAAACGTACCTTTAATTATGATTATTATTATTTTTTAAATATAGTATAGTAGTAATATGCTGCAGAATATTGTCAGCATTTAATTTGTTATATTCTTTTTGCCTCATCGTTTAGTTTTGTACATACTTAATTAATACTATTAACGGCAGTTTGAATATAAATGGTTATTTAAAAGCGTAAAATTGTAGGTTATATCTTTTCAAGTCGCAATTACAAAAAAAAATCTGGTTCAGGAATCACTCGTTTTATTTTAAATTATAATTTGATTAATCATACACATGAATGGATGTTTCCAAATTATTTGTTAAGTGCTGTTTCAATGTTTTACGGAATAATATATTTTCAAAATAATAAATTAATGTATACAATGTAGGAAGCAGTGCTCTTGATTTGATGTGGCTAATATCCGGGTACTCGTTTATCCGGGTAATACCCGATTTTTTGGGTAGTGGGTACCCATTACCCAAAATTTTCGAGTAACTGATGGTTTTTGATATACGTAAACGGTTAGCTAAGAGGTAATCAGTATTAAATTATACATTACACAATTATTCGAATAAAAAATATTAAAATATTTCCTCTTTTAAATTAATAAAATTACTTTTTAAAAATAAAATCTTTAGTATTTTATGCGAGTGTTGTTAGTAATATTATATTTCAATAATTAGTTTATTCAAGTTTAATGTCGAATAACATGTTAAAAGCTATTATAAAGTCTATATTTAAATCTTGCAGAAAACAGATATAGTGGCCTTATTCATTACCTTTTATGTGTATAGTTACGTAGATAATAAGTAATCACAATCAGTGGCGTACATATGGTGTGGGGGGAAGCGTGTGAGAAGGCGTTCAAACCCATCCCCAGCGCCAAAAAAAAAAAAAGAAAATTGTGATATTATTGATGACGTGTAATATATTCATAGTTTCATTGTTACGCTTTGAACTTAAAATATACTACTATACAAAAATTATAATAATTGAATAATTATATTGATAGGTGTTTGAAATGTTTTGTTAACTATCCTGTTTTTATATTCCTATAGCTACTAATTTACTGTAATGTAAAAGTAAACAGTAAATTGTTGTAAAAAGTTGTATAAAATAATATCTATTTATAGCAGTTATTTATCTGTGCAACGAAAAAAAAAGATAACGAAATTTATCATGTTTTAGAAAAAATATGTATTTACATACAAATCCCAGCTCTAGTAATGAGTATACAAACCATAACAGATACCCGATTCATAACGGATACCCAATCCATAACGCGTACCCAAAATGTTGTAAATCGGGTAATACCCATAAAACCCGGGTACCCGGGTGCCCGGATAGTACCCGGATATCCGTGTATCAATAGCACTAGTAGGAAGAGGGTAATATTGCTTAATAAATCAATAAATACATATTTGTAATAAAATTAACGTATGTCAATTAAACACAACTAGCATAGTAGTGTACATCCCTGCGTACTTCATTAATGCGAGGGACTAGGTAAATTGGGACCATGATAAATTGTCTATCTTTTAAAAGCGGTAAATTGAGTTCCGGGGAAAAAAAAAGATAGTAGGTAAGTTGGGTCTTCGCTTTTAATACATTACCTACTATAATATATTAAAATATTTAGTGCGATAAAACTTTCATTCTTGCGTATCACATTAAAAGGAAGATTAAGGCTATAATCATAGTATGCATTTATCGATTGCCGATTCCTATCTAATATTATCCATACAATCAGAGATGAAAGTAAAATTATGAAGCACAAAACAAATAATCAGTAGTAGGTACGCTCGATAAAGAACAATACGAGTATTTAAGGGAGCAAATGACAAAATATTGTAATAATACAATAACCCGATTTGATGTTGTCAAATCCGTATCATTTAAGTTTTTACCAAGAATATAATATTATAAAAAATAGATATATTTTAATTTAATTATTATAATAAAAATTAAACTGATTTTTTAGTATATAAAATGTATATTATAATTAAAAAATCTGACTTCTAAAAAATATCATTAGACATTAATTGAATAAAAATATTTACTGTATTATTATTATTATTATTATTATTTAATTTTTTTTGCTGAGACTCTATTTACCTTAGTACGTACTATTCATATTAGTTTTTTTTTGAAACTAAAATTATCTACTACCTTTTTTTTTTTGAGATCCAATTTACCGATAAAAGGTAATTTGGGAACCAATTTACCATCCCAATAATGCGAACATGTTTTCATATGGATTGTATTAAAATGTAATGCATGCAAATATAAGCATTAATTTGCAGACGTGTGATCATTACAGCATATTATGTAATTTAAATACTATTATTTGAGAATTCGAGAAAAACAATTGAGATATACGGTTGATACGCATTATTTTATAGACAATTTAAAAACAACTGAAGTTTAAATTTTTCATGATTTTAGAAATAAGGGAATTTGCGTTTTTTTATGAAATCATTTAATTAAAAATAAATATATTATTCGTTAAAAATTACTTATTTTTAACTTAATCTAAGCATTTGTATACATATATACATAACCTAAAAAACATTGCGTCTCCATCATCTAATGACTAAATTATTTCAACGCTCAAGTGTTATAGTGTCAGATGTATGGTTTGTTTCTTACTAAGCGAACAATACAAATTTGGTGCATAAAATTCAAGAGGTGAAGTAGATTTTCCGAAGATAAAGAAAATAATGAAGAAATAGTTTTTATCATCATTGTTGAGTGTAGCCAAAACACTTAAAATCTAGTTTAATTTATCTTAGAAATACAATATCAGTCGTAAAGCGCATTTAAAAATTAAGTCCTCTATTTTTAATCTTGAAGAAAGATGATTGCTTAAAGAAAGATTTAGGATTAAAGGGTCTGGTCTTACTTGTCATAAGATAGGACCAAAATTTAAATGCATGGATGCCATATACATCCCTTTCCATAACAAACATGAGATCCAGAAAATACTTGAATACTCGCAAGCGAAGCGAGCGTCTTTTTGAATGATAAAATCTGATAAGTTTTAATTCTAACGAATGACACAATAGTGATTGTCATAAATCCTTAAATACGCGTATACCCTCTAGTTTTTTTGCCAAAACACCACTGGGTATACCACATATATATATACATATATGATTGTAAAATTCTAAATACAAAACTAAAAACTGAAAGTAACTAATTAAAACAGAATTATTTCATCATTTTAATACACAAATATTATGATCATGATGGAATAACTGGTGTATAAATGATAAAGGAAACTTGAATTATTTTATGTATTATATTAAATGATGATCGGCTTGTATATCTAACATAATTTTGAGGGGAAAATTAACAAAATAATAATTTAATCATATATGTACAATAATGTATTAAGTAATATTATTTGCGGAATCACTATGGTTATACAACTGTAAAACGAATTCGTTGATCCGAACGAGTGATGGGTTTTTTATTTTTTAATTCGGTTACCTCGTGCTTTGATTGATATCATTATCGTTAGGATCATGCTTACGTAGTTCAGTGGAAGTTAAAAAAGAGATTATGAAGCAATAGTTTTTCTATTTTCCGAGCATTGAGTGGAATAGCTGAGTATGTATTACACGTTTAGTCTAATGAATTTCTGGAACCGAATAATAGTTAATGTAATAAATACGTTTGACGTTGAAGCATAAAAGTATATTAAAAATGAAGAAAAAAGTCCAATGCCAAGAGAGGGCAAAAAACAGTTGTAGTTTAGATATAGCATTAGAAATGTCCAATAATCGTGATAATTGAGACCCGTATATAATGTCGTATTGCTGTAATATTTCAGCAAAACTTTTCTTTTTTTTTTCTCTACATTTCTACATCCTTACCATTACAGTTAACAACGGGTGTCTCAATTTTTTCGTTGGAACGGTCGATACGGGGGCAATCAGAAAAGTAGCGGAACGATTCGAAAAAACTTGATGGTGTTTGAAATAACGAGAAGAAATGATATAATGGCCTGTACGTATTTTTGAGTGGGAAACAATAAAAGTAGAGCCGACAAATTGCGAGGTCTTATCAGAGATCGAGGGAAATTAGTTTCATTGCAAATATTTTTGTATGCTTATATGACTTTAAACAATCCGTTCACCAAAACACTTTTTTTAATTTCGGTTTACCAAAAGAGTCCAACGAATCCGTCGTTTATCTTACATCGGTCCCTGTAAGATCTTTTACGCATCTATGGTTTTTTTTGTTCATATTTTTACCCTCCATTTATAGCATCTTTCTCTATTCTTTCTGTAGGAGTATATTTTTTTAATTTTTCTATTTTATTGTTAGCAATATATAATTATTTTATGTTATGAAACGATATCGTAAATATTTCCATTTAGAATTGTTAACAGTGAAGTTGTAAAATGGATTGTTAAAAAAAAAAAATGTTATCTAATCAAATGCAAAATAGGAACAAAATTTAATAATTAAAAATCGTAGTACATTTATTTTATATACTACCATTAAATCGATTAAGTATAAAAATCAATCTCTTACTAAAAAAAAAATATTAATATTGTATCAAATAAAACACGCTGAATGTAGTATATAGTTACTGCATTGTACAATATAGTGCTAAAATGGATTAAATTTTGTACCGATATTTGAGAAAATTTGAGAAAAATGGATATTATATTATTATTATATTATATTATATTATATATATATATATATAGATTCCTAATACGTATTTAAAAGAAATAATAACTTATTTGTACGATTATTTCTGTTTTGCACAGGATCTGGAAGTACGAAGAGCGACGACGACGAAGGGGACGAAGATGAGGACGAGGAGGAGTGCATCGTGGACGACGATCTGTCGGCGAGTTTTACCGAGGATTCGAACCACAGTCTGTTCTCAGGTTGGATAAAAATTATATTACCATCATTCAAACACCGTGTGCGCGTTCCCTTGCTATGTAGGGTCTTTCAACACGGTCGCAACTTCGCCTTACACGCCTGTTGCATTGGATCGAGACTACTAGTTTTCGTGTATAGGTATACGAGATGGTTACACGGGTGCGCATCGCTGTACATCACGATGTGACATGACGACAAACAGCTATAGTTGTACTGTTATGTGCACATGGATACTATTACGTAACGTTACCACGTCCTAGGACAGGGGCTGATCCAGAAATCGTGTTAACATAGTGAGGAGGGGAGGTGCAAATAGCCATACATATATAAATAGCATATATGTTTGGTAAGTTGTAACTTTAGCAACAAAGCTAAATTTCATAATAATTAAAGGAATGAAATAACATAATGTTATGGTATTTCAAATCAACAGTAAATTTTATAAGAGAAAGTCAAGTTTTCGTTATTTTTCATAAGAAAATTACTACAGAATTTTACAAAAAATTACACTAGGTACGTGTTGTCCAGTGCAGCGGTCCCCGAACTCTTACGACCATCGGAGCCCTTAATAGGAAGCGGTTTGTGTTTTGTGGAACCCAATGTTTCTGACTTCGAATTAATCCCGATTTATCAACTGTTTATTAAAAAACCCAATGCTCCGGAAAATGTTTCACATATGGTTCATGATTATTGTTCATTGCAATGACTAACGTATACTCAATACATCTCACGAACCCTCAGGTTATCCATTAGATTCCGTGGAATACGCTTTGGGAATCGCTGACCCGTAATATAGTAGTTCACCATTTTCTCGCCTAGCCGGCGTGCTCATGTGATTCACAAATGGGTATACTTCTGTACGGCGACGAATGACCGGAAGGGGTAGGTACAGGTGATTATGAAGTGTTTTTACCTTGGTTGGTATCGGGTCCAAAAGGCAGGATGAACAAGCCGTTTTCCTAGTCGAAACCCGAAACTTCGTTACATACATTTTGGTTTCATTTGAGGCATTATGATGATATCATACGTTTTAGAATCGAAACCGTATAATAGAAATATATTGAAAACAAATACCACGACAATACGTACAATCGAAAATGATAGGTTGTATACGGACTCTTGTCTTTGTCTAGTCTACCTTTAGATTTACCGTTGTTTTCGACATAGTCCACATGATGATATAATATGTTTGAAAACATGAAGGAACGTAACGCTATGGTGTACGAAATCCGAAGTATTGAAAAATTGTTAAATACTGATTGCTCTTCCTTCTTCTGTCGCGCTGTAAATCCATTGATGTTTTTCATCTTCGCGGTGCTCGACCACGAAATATTGCTACGTGCGTGCGGCCGAATGGGTTAGAGTTTCGTGGAGACATTGTAATTGTACCCTTGCTGAAAGTTGCCGGCATCATCTATACACACGTACGCGCACACGCACAGCGCGCAGGAGGACAGATTTGTCCCGCGGGGATCGTACAATAAACTCGCGGCAGAGATCGCGGGGAGAAACATTCATTTCGTTTGATTGTTATTGCCCCGGCGGTCATGCACATGTGGGGGAAAAAAAAAGAAGAATTTTCTCGCTAACCCTGTAAATACTGCCGTCGCCGCCGCGGATCGGCAAGAGCCGCGCGCGTATGGAGCAGTGGGGGAAGGGGTACGGTGAGAGGATGAAGGACGAGGATCGGATGAAACGGCGTCCGTCCACCGTCACCGTTGCTGCTGCACTTTGACGCCGTCGGAAAATCGATATGCGGTCCGTGGCCCCGGCGCTCGTAGGATGTGAAAAATTAACGTGCGCCCGCGTGTCAATTAGCGACGACGGTCCCACCGTGACCGCGGTGCACCTCGTCGGCAGACGCGCGTACTGCAGGTAGCAGCATCGGGAACACGAGAATACACTTCGTCCCCCAAAACTAAACATACATTATGCATAAACAGTTCTCCGGTTGCAGAAATTCAATTTAACTGTCGACTGACCCGACCCGCATGCGCACACCGACGGGGCAACGGTGACTGTTTTGTGCGCGCACACGTAATGAGTAACACAATATGTGCGCCTACACCGTTTGCGGAGGCCTGTGCAAAACTCGTGTCCGTTCGCCCGGAATATGTGCATAATGAACCGGCGTTTTTAGGTTGTACAAACAATACACGACCCTACGAGTTCGAACGGTAACGATAACAGTACCGATGCGCGCGCGCATCAAATCACACCCTCCGTTTCTCAGCGTCGCTGTACGCGATGCGTGCAATGCATTTCGCGCGGGTAAGAAAAACCGATGGTTCTCTCCGAAATGATTGCCGTGTGTCCGAGAGAGCACAGCGATGTTTCCTTCTTTTCGGTTTCGCTGTTTCGCCGAATTTCTAAATAACTGAATCCGTTAATATAATCCGTATTAATATTATTAATCTCGACCACCGGACATTTCACTGTTATCTTAATACGTCCGGTTAGTTGCTGCGTACGTGCGAGTAACGCTGTTTCGGTGCTTATTCCTTCGTGCTATCCTGTCGTCGTCGTTTCTTATTTAGGCGATTTATTATATTCTTTCTAGATCCCGAGCCGAGCCACGAAATATATTGGTTTTACATTGATATTCGTGCGATTATTTTCAAGACATAAAAATCTTGTGGTAAATTTGTTCCATTAAATATGTCGTCCAACAACTTTTAACGAGCATAATGGATTTATTAAACTTTTTACAATCGGGTCCGGTATTTTTGACTTAAATTACTTGTATATCAACGGTAGAATTATAAGACCGTTACATGCGTATTACGACTTCATTTTACTAATTTATTGAATTAATCAAATACAGACGTAGAATAAAAATGAACAGTCGTTTTTTTGATAGAAATCTTAACTCATCAACAATTTCAAACTAGTAAAAACTCCTAATTGTTTTAATGATTTACTCTATAAAAATGATCTAATGGTGTGTTGTAAGAAAATTATTGAGTTTAAAGCTTCAAATCTGTTTGACTCTTGTACAGAACTGTGTATATTATTATTATATTCATCATATTGACTTGAAATGTGTCGGTGCGCTAACACGTAAATATCATAATACACTGTTCGATTTTAAATTACTATTAAATAAATAATTTAAATTACCTATATTTAATTCATCAAATCATAAACTATCCTAATGAATACTAAAAAAAAAAAAAATTACACTTGTTAATTATGCGTGAACTATTTACAGATTTTGCACAAAATAAATATCAATTTTGTGTCCATTTTCTTCGTTTTCTTTTATCTTACATTTTCTTTTATCATAACAAAAATTGTATGTACTAAATAAGTTTTTATACTATTTTTATTAAGAAAAAAAGTTCATCTAACAACAGATTACAATAGACTTTTTATTTCTTATTAAGCTGTTTTATAAACATTATGAAGTATATATATTTTTTAAATGCAATGGAATTTCATTGAAATTAGACGGAACAAGGTAATCCAAAAGTGTATCAACATTTTTTTTGTGTAGTCAACTTGGATATAATAAGCTTTATTTTCACGCTTATTGGCATAATTAAATTCATTTTTTGATAAATTTAATACGGATAATAAACAATTAGTAACATTAACATGACTGGTAATATTTTTAAAATTTTACAGTCAGAGACTATGGAGCCCATTATAACTTACAATTTTAATGCACTTAATTCTATATTAAGAGTTCGTCCGTTTACATTCTTGTGTAAACTTCTAAATTTAAATATAGTGTTTATATGTACATAATGTACCTAATGAGTATGGAGTTTGCTTATGATAAATCATATTTAGTTGTTAACAGGGGAAACGAATTTACTAATTATAAGTATTCTTTAATTTAGCTTTTAATATTTAGCTTAAAACCGACACAAGTCATTATTTCGGTGATGTTTTCAATTTTAGTAATTTTTAAAATCACATTGAATATTATTAGTGTTATATATAGTGTTGTATATAATATATACAGTGGTAATATTTATTTTAACAAATTTTCTTGTGCGTTGAAGTACTTATTATATATAAATGTACATTAAAGTAGTATTAGAAGATGCATTTCCTTTCCCTTTTGATGTTTAAAATTACAATATATATACACAAATGTTAGTATGCAGTCAAATCACGATGTTTGAAGAAAGCCTTTAAGTTTCTCCGAAGGTACTTATGTATAATTGTATTTGAGTTGTCAAGAATTATCTCTACACCACCATGATTCGTAATGTTCTATAATGCAAATGTTTCAAAGTATTGAAATAATGAAAAGGATTTTTACATTTATATGTGTAGGATTACATATATATATTCTAAAAATTGCACCACGATACAAAGAGTAGACGGGTAGAATATTTTTTTTCGATGTTTGGAACCGATGAAAATAATTCGTGAAGGAGTAAAGGACCAAAAAATGTCACCCGGATTTTAGCCCATAAATAAAATCTACTTCATCAACGTAATTTACTGTGCCTAATTTTAAAGTTGTATTAAATTAATTTTATTATTATATTGATATAATTTCCTAACTAGTGAGTTTTATTTTTTTGAGGGTATTTATAAAAAATAATGTTAGTGGAAAAAATACAAAATCAATTTATTTATAATATTTTGTTTTTAAAATCATTTATTTTGAAATCCAATTTTAAACGTTATACTAAGCAATGTAACAATAATAGACAAACAAACCAAATATACAATATATAATTAACGGTAAAACAAATAAAATAAATTTATTATAATATAATAAATAATAAATATGTAAATAAAATATTAAGAATTCAATACGAGTAAATACCTATTTAAATTCTCTAGAAAATAAATATTTTTGATTTTCAGCAATTGTGTTTTAATTCTAGTCTGGTTAAGAATTCGTAAATCCCTATTTATAATATCATATGAAATATAATAAGTCTTGCAACAATATTTTAATTTCGTTCATAATTATTTATTTTAAGACTGTTATTTTAAAAATGTTAACGCTTCATAAAATGTTTAAAATAATAAAAAT